GTTGCTTGGTCGGCGCTGGTCGGCTCTGGTCGGGTGTGGGCGCCGGCAACGCTGTCCCATTGTAAATCGCAGTAGATCTGGCTCCGTTAGAGGGTCTGGTGGTTGCTTGATCGGCGCTGGTCGGGTGTGGGCGCAGTGGTGTCAGATGAGTGGTGTGTGATGAGTGGTGTGTGATGAGTGGTGTGTGTGATGAGTGGTGTGAGATGAGTAGTGTAAGATGAGTGGTGTGTGGTGAGTGGTGTGTGATGAGTGGTGCGTGTGATGAGTGGATGAGTGGTGTGTGTGATGAGTGGTGTGAGATGAGTAGTGTAAGATGAGTGGTGTGAGATGAGTGGTGTGTGATGAGTGGTGTGTGAGATGAGTGGTGTGTGAGATGAGTGGTGTGTGATGAGTGGGTGGGAGGAGCGGAGGAGCGGGAGAGTGGGAGGAGCGGAGGAGCGGGAGAAGCGGGATGAGACATAGAAAAGAAGAACCCCACACTAAGATGTGGGGAACTAGAATAGAAAGATGTTGAAAGATCTGTTTCGAGTGTGCGCTACACTGCCCATAGTGTTTGTCATGTTGTGATGTTAGTTGAGCTGTGGCGTAGCACTTCCGCTTGAGGTTTATGGCGACGCAGAGCGACCCGGGACGTTGAGAATGTCAGTAGTATTAGAGTACGTACGGCGATCTTGTGAGCAGAGACGATCCCGTTTGGAAAGCTCTGTACCAGAGCGGAGGTATGATTGTTCATCCTGGCTACTTGTCGCTATGTGTCGGAAGCTCAGTGACGTGTGTAGAAAATGTGCTTCAAGCCATGCATCTGTCGCGAAAAGTGCCCGACTTGTAGAATCATGTTAGTGAAAGCTAAATCACACGGTTGGCCGGGTGTGAGGGCATTGAGCCAGCCAGGTTTTCGGATCGTGTGCCTGATCTATCAGGCGACCGCCGTATCGCGAGTAGAAAGGATTCATTCTCTGTGCAGTATGCGTGGGTTTGCAGCCAGCGTTAGTATTTTTTGGTTAGCTTGATGTTGCGCAAAGCTGTTTTTGTGGTTCAAGCAACACAGGATCCCATTTGGAGACTGTAATCAGCCGCTGACATGGCGGCCATGCAGACTCAGGCGATTTTGTCACCCTCCCGCACGTACTACGTTGCGTTGTTGCCGCAGGTCGGCCGCGGAGTGGTCAGACTCTTTTGTTGGAGTTCGTAAATTCTTGCAAAGAAACAGACTCGGTGACAACATCATTTCCAGCTTTATCTTCTTGCTACTAGACGCTGTTTCGTCGTGCTTTTGAGACCTGTACAACAAACTTGAGATGAAGTCGCGCTAGAGGCTCGTGAGCAAAGCGCGCTGGCCGCGTGCTGGCAGCCGGGCGCGCGGGAGCACCTGAGCTTACGGTCGACGGAAGCCTTGGCGCTGGAGCGGTACCGTTGGTGGGAGCAAGCCAATGCACCATTGTCACTTGTTGTTAGAATGAGGCTTTTTCAGTTGGATATGTTCTTTCGCTGGGTTTGGCGGTTGGTCTGCATGTATGGCTTGAGGCCAGATCCCTGCGTGGTGAAGGTGGAATTTACGAGCCAGGGTTGGGATTGGTTGCAGCGAGAGGGCCTGTTGAAGATTTTGAATCCGACGACGTGGGCGCGATTCACCGGTGTCCTGCAGATGGGCCGGGTGGTGCCGAGCGCTGAAGAGGATACGGAGTTGTATCGGTGCTCGGTGGTGCCGTGACAGGCGTATCAGTAAACGACCGCGTTTCGGAAGCTTACCGCGTAGTTACGTTGGGTTTACTTTCATTTGGCCAGCAGAAGGAGAAGAAGACAGTATGATGGTTGTAGCCTGCCAAAAATGCACAAGCAAAGAACATTTCGACTGATCAGGTCGCTGCCAAGACGCTGCATGCTGCCAGTTGCATGCGTGTACAAAGTCTTTCAAACGGCAACATGACTGCAGGAACTGCCGAGAAACGTTTGAAGACTTTGTGGAACAGCATCCGAGTCTTGATCATCGAGGAGATCAGCATGGTTTCGGCTATGATGTACAACATGCTAGACTTTCGAGCTATGTTGGGTCGTCGTGTGGCTTGGCACGTCGATCCCCATACATACTCCAAAGTAGGCTGTGCTTTTGGTCGCGCTCCTATCGTGTTGCATCTCGGTGACTTCTTTCAGCTTTGGCCTACCGCACAGTTGTCTTTGCTGGATGACTTGGATGCAAAGAATACCGATGGCGAGCTCAAGTACGAGGCAGTGGCACCTGAAGTACAGCACGCGCAAGAAGTGATGGCAAACATCCCCGATGTTTTCGAGCTGCGAGGGACCATGAGGTTCAAGTCTGGCGATCCTTTGATCGACCTACTGCAGTGCATGCGACAGGGGAAGAAGTTGCCAACGCCTCTTTGGCGGAAATTCCAAGGCCGTTATGCAAAAGACACCGAGCCTGGTGTCCCAGACCCTCGCTTTTTTGAAGACAAGTTTCGCTACGGATTTTGCATGTCCATCTATTGGAGTTCTTTGGCGCGCATGTTGTCGCATCGCGCTGTTCTCGATGCTAAAGAGTTGCAGGTTCCGTTGGTCATGCTGCAAGCTGCCGATGAATGTTGTGACCTCAAACAAGACGCAGCTTTTCGCTTTCTGAATATGACTAATCCCAACAAGACAGGACACATGCACGGCATGTTTCCTTGTCATATCGGCATGGACATACGCTTTCTAGCAAAGCTCGATGGTGATGCAGGTATGGTCCAAGATACCCAGGCTAAGATCATCGATTTTGAGTTTCACAGTCTGACAGAGAAGCTTACCGCCAAACCGCCCCTGGTGAAATGTTTTATCCTCGCTTTCTACCTTCCGGTTTGTGGGTCTCTGTAAAAGGCTATTCAGGCTGTCCGGATTGGGAAGAACTTCAAGAGATGTGTCGTAAGCATGTTCAGACAGATGAAGAGGCTTGCAAGCTGGCGAAAAGTTTTTGGTTCTTACCCGCAGTTGAAGTGAAAGTTCTCTTTTCCAGCACGCAGAAGCACGAAGTTCGCCGTTGTGGTTTTCAAGTGACACATGCCCAGTGTTTGACCAGCACTGCTTCGCAAGGCTTGACGCTGCGCACAGGCACGATCGTTGATTGCGCGCGCTTGCCCGAGTTAGATGACGACAATTGGTGGCTCCACTTGTATGTCATGTTCTCCAGAGTCACATCTCTCGATGATCTACTTCTTTTGCGCCCACCTCCTCGCGAGATTTTGGAGCGGGGCCCTCCTGAGTCCATTGTCGCTCGTGTGGCAGAATTCCATAAGAGAGCAGAACGATGCCGAGATGGCGCTCTGCGTCTACGCGAGCAATGGGATGTTCGTGTTGGGCGCACATGAGCATCTTCCTGCAGCAATGATCCACGAGCACATTGACGGTAGCGTGGAAAAGGGCAGCGAAAAGACTCTTCAATGACAAGCCGACCACGTGGGCGCAGCGATACTTTCACTCGTTGATCCAAGAGCATAGAGTGGCGCCGAGCGCGTGGACCTTTCTGGACGTTAGCGCTGTGAGGCAAGCGCTGTACTTGGGAGCTGCCAGGCCTGCGCGGCCTGTAGGTCGTGCGGTCGGAGCGGAGGAGTTGAGCCAGACTGCCGACATTCGAAGTACTGCCAAGTACTGCAAGGCAGATGCCACTTCGCACCGAAGCCCCGCGACGCAGAAGCGCATAGCATGTTCTTGCAGATACGATCCCATTTGGAAAGCACTGCAGGGCAGATGCCACTTCGCACCTACTTCTTGTTACAGATCTGTGACGCACATGCGCGTAGCATCCTCTTGCAGATACGATCCCATTTGGAAAGCGTTGCAGGACAGATGCCACTTCGCACCTGTGACGCAGATGAGAGCATAGCATCCTCTTGCAGACACGATCCCATTTGGAAAGCGTTGCAGGGCAGATGCCACTTCGCACCTGTGACGCAGATGAGCGTAGCATCTTCTCGCAGATGCGATCCCATTTGGAAAGCACTGCCGGGCAGATGCCACTTCGCACCTGCATCTTACGATCCCATGACGGCATTTTCTGATACTCCTCGGGCTGACGAGATTCCAGCAGAAATGGCTTACTGAAGATCATAGCAACTTGCATGAGAACACTCTTGTCACGAGGTTCAGCATTGACACACGCACTCCTCAAGACTGGATCCATCTCTAAATTTGGCAGAGACGCTGGTCTGCAAGAACCCAATCCTGTGCATTGGAATGCGGTGGATCCCATTCATCAAATCCAGGGCAATTGTCCTTTCTTCGTCCACTGCTCGTGGCCCTTCGTCACATTGGTCAGCAGGGCCAGAGAGTATAGAGCATGTTCTTGCAGATACGATCCCGCTTGGAAAGCTTTGCAGAGCAGATGCCATCCTCTTGCAGAGACTAACCCTTTCGTCTGCGCGATGAAGAAAAGGAGTTTCGGTGCGCTTTCAAAACCTAGAAACCAAAAGTGTCTGCTTTGCGGAGTGCTGCTTTGCTTTTATCGAAAGATCGGCCATGTGCAGGTACGGCAGTACATGAAGTTCTCCTGTCTTTCCAAGGCGCGAATCATGTGCTGACTATGACAAACGAAGTTATCCAAAGTCTTTGGTCTTCACTTTTACAGCCCATTTTGTTCCTAGAATGATGTCTTTTGAATGTAGTGCTCATGCCATCGCCCAGGTTCACCAACACGACCTGATTTCATTTGCGCGATGAAAAAGAGTTTGACTATGGGGTTTTGCGTCGGCAGAGCGATGGGATTTTACTTTGGCTAGTTGTGGCTGCGCACACCTGTGTGCGCAATACCTCGTACATCCGTCGTGCACATCACTCTCTTACACCTTCTCTCCCACCCCTCTGTTGTCGGAAGCTGATATCACTTCCTGACAAGGCCGTGTTGTAGAAGCTATTGAGCCTCTGACTGCTTTGTGCTTTAGAACCTTCAGATTCGTAAAGATTCATATGTGGGGTTATCCGGTCCTTTAATTTTGCTGTGTTTTAGTATGTCTGATGCATGTGTGTAGAGGTCGAGCGTTGTTTCAATGTATCGATATTTCATGCGTGTGGATTCCATTCTGAATCACCCCCAACTTCCATGATTCCAATTTGCAAAGCAAACAAAAAGAAAACTGTTTAAAACAATCGCATAAAAAATTGTCATGCCTGGCACTCGGCATCCCCAAAACTTTTGGCGGTAATTCCTTATGGTGCTTTACTTAAGTTCACAGAACATCACAAAACTATGAGCTATTGCGTGCAATCCACCTGCGAAAAGGGTGCCCCCATGAAGGCTCCATACCATAAATGATCCCTAGCATTCCCTAGCCCTAATGAAGCCAAGAGGGTTTTGCTTCCTAGATTTGGGGCGTTCGTTTCCTTTCCCTTTTCTTTTAATCCCTCATTGATTGAGACCAGTGCAACCAAATCCGAACAAATCTTGGCAAACGTCTCTTATCAATACTGTGAGAGAAAAACCAATAAAGCATACCAAAAAAAACTGATAAAGGATATTCCCCACAAAGATGCTGCTGGGGCACAAAATAAGGTTCATCACTAGATAAAGCTAAAGGCTTTCCAATAGGGATATTTCCTGTGATTCCCTTTCATGTCCCTTTCACTCACCAATTCTCAACTCCGTATTCCCACAATCTGTCATATGATATGAATGAATTTTTCCGAGTGTGTTTCATGTTCCTTTCATCCATTCCCGCCTCTCTATTCCCACAATCCTAAACCAAGAACATCCTGGGCCAATACTCGGCTAACTTAAAGCAATGTTTGGGGTTACGTAATTTGGGGTGTGGTTATTATTGTTGAGTGCATTCCATGAAGAGCGTTGCAATTTCATAAATTAATCACAGGTGGACATGCGAACTGGAAGGTGCTTCAATGTTTCATCTCTATAGCCTATTTCATGCCATGTTCTCTACTTATATATTTAGATGTCTGTTGCACCAGTTGCACCTGTCTCAAATGATTCTGCCCATGACATCGTCTATCCGACCCTCGAGATTCCAAATCCATCGCCGCAAAAGCAGCAGAAAGGGAGCCGTGCGCCTCCTCAGGTTGTCTGAAGTTGTCCGCAGCTCAGAAAGATGTTAGTGCAGGGCCCAGCGGCCCACGAATGTGCTTCTAGGACTTCCAGGGCCCGAAGTCTAAATCATACCGGTTTTAGATTCAGTTTGTGGCTCGTGTCCTCGAACTTGGCTTGAAGCGACACAATGCGGCATTCTGGGTGGGCCCCAAAGCCTGATCGGAGTGCTAGAGCAAAGCAAGCAATGCTGTGCGAGTGAAAGAAAACGAGCACAGGATTTGTCCCATACTAATCTCTCCAACAAATGGCTTTAGTTGGCCTGCATCTGTTGACCGGGTTTGTCCAGCAATCTGGACAGTGCAGCCTCTGCAAACGAACGCATGCAAGGCAACCCAACAAAAAATAGAGAGTCCAAAGTGCTGTGACTTTGCCTGGCCTCTGACTTTGCTTCGATTCTCCTTCGCAGAGCTTCGACGAGGCCACGGCTTGCTTGGAGCATCCTGCACAGCTGCGAGGATAACGAAAAAATATATGACAATAATATACTATAAAATAAACATAAATATATAGAAACTGATGATAATAGTAAACCCAAGCGAGCTGGGCAAAACAACAACGCTGCCCTCAACGATCGGATCCTAAAGGCTACACAGCTCCTTTGGACATGTTTTGGCCATTGGCTACGGCCATGCAAGGCCTAAGGCCTGCAGGGATCTGTCAGGCAAAACATCACTTTTGTTGCCTATACAACGCTGTGCGAGTCTCCAGCTGATTTGTACAGCCTTCTCCGGTGAAATTGATTGATCACACGACCATCGCTCTGTCTAAATTGTCGACTGATAGGCAGGTCACCTGCAAGAGTCGGAGCCGCGTTACGCATCGTTGCCCACAAAGGTGCGCAAAAAAAACAAAAGGAACCCGCGAACCCGAACGCACACACGCACTTGAAAACAAACGGCCAAATGATGTTGACACTCTTGCAAGACATTCTGGTGGGGTGCGTCAAATCTCCATCGCAAGCGTTTCGCACGAGGCCTCCTCCATAAGTTGCGCATCAAGTCTCCAAAATGAGCGCTTCCTGTCCCAGCCCCTCAAAAACCACAGCCGGCAACGTAGCACTGCGCCTGCCACAAAACGTTGCTACATTACATCTTCTTCACGTCTTCTGCGACCACACATCACCACACCACAGTAATTCCAGAGGCACAGCGAAGGAACTGAGGATCTCACAAAACGCTGCACCTGCGCAGAAAAATCATCCTCCACACTCCAACATGTTACGTTCCCACGCTATTTCACACGAATCTGCCACTTCAGGCTTCCATCCAAAATCTCCTCCAAAAGCTTCCCCCAATGGCACATTTGGTCGTTGGCGAATGGTTTTTTCCTCTCGCGTACAAAGCCGATAATCGTCGCGGCGTGTAAATTCTAGCGCGCAACACTCAACTCGACGATGCCGTGTAGTTGGCCCAGGCTTTTCAGACACTTCAACCACTGCCGGTCAAGCCATCCTCGGAAACAAGCAGGTCGCTGGCTTAGCCGATCAGGTTCGCAGCTCATCGCGCTTGTCAGCACGGCAGTGAGCGACCATTTGCGCAGCTTTCTCTCGGAACACCGTCGTCCATGGCGATTATAGTGTCTCAGACATGGCACGCTGGTGACCAAAATCGCAAATCTGGCGCCAATCGCCCTCTCCAACTGCAAAGCCATCACGCAAAACCCACATCAGTGTATCAGTTGGTCCCTCAGAATTTCCGGCCCAGAAATCAAACCAGCAAACATTCGGACGAGCAGCCAGCAACACATCGCACCACTCAGCCAGGAGCTGCGTGTGGCAGCTGAAGTATACTGGGATGCTCCAGGACAAAGAAACGATTTGAAAGGGACATGAGCAGGGGAAAACTTGATCGCGAAAAACAACGATTGGCAATATGACATTATCGAAGCCTTGGGGCTTTTCCATTCTGGACCCATGCAGCGCAAAAACTGTTGGTCGGGGGGCTCACCTGGCCGCTACATGCCAGAGAGCACCACAGCTGTCGCACGGTTTGGTCAAGTCTATTGCCAGCAAACTCAAAATTGTGCCAGCAGAGGGCTCCAAACGACACATTAAGGCGCTCAGGGCTACCATCCGCTCACGACCACTGAGCACGCAAAGAAATAACAATTTTTGGCTAGAAGGCTTCTCCAAATACTGGTCAGCTGCCCGTTCCTGAAACGCACTGTTCTTCTGCAAGGACACTGGGTCAGCGCTAAACAAAGCAGCGCTAACTCAAGCGGCATAAAACCCCAGCGGGAAAGCAACCTCAAGGCTTGCAGAATTTCGCGTTACAGCATACACTATACAAACCCAAAACTTGCCTGCGTAACAGAAAAATCCTGACATGTTTGGAGCGCGCAGGAGCCATTGGCGTCAATTGCTAAGCTGGCAGGCATCTTGCTCCTTTTTAGCGCGCCACGCATGAATCTCTCAAGCATGTCTTGCAAACCAGCATTTGCAATGGATGTAAGCTCTTGTTCCCAAGGTTGTGGAACGTTCGGGCCAAGAGCTGTGAGTTGGCGAAAAAGAAACTTCGCCCTTTTGAGCTGATCTATTCGACCTGAATCTCCTTGCGCTTCACACAAGGATATGGATCTCTTGGTTGGCGGCGCAAACAAAATCTGACGCTTAGCAGCAGCAACGGTCTGCTCGTCCACGAAGACCAACCCTGAATCGCGAAAAATGCAGGCCCCCCGTCGTGGCTCACAAACAGTGGCTTCTTCAGAACCTTCAGAACTTATGGGACGCACTTGAGAAACTCACGAGATGCATCAACAGCTTGCCCACTGCGCTGTCCCCCGACAGGGGCAAAGGGGATCTGTTAAGCATCTTCGGTCAGCAACTTGAATCCTTTTTAGACAAGGCAGATAAGAGCCTCTGTCCGTAGCATCCTCGTCCTTGCTAACGACACACCACTCTAGACCCGACGCATCAAGCCAAAGACCATCGCTTGCCTAATCTGAGCGAAAACCAAATTCACTTGCATCTGCGCCGGCAACAGGCCGTTGTCAGTGGAGGTCAGGAGTGACCTGAGCCGCACCAGCCACATCATGACCATGGGCAACACCCCGACGGGAGGCGCGAAGTGAGGTCAGTGATCCATGGCGGCAGCCTTGCGCTCGTAGTATAAAGCGGTCGGGATGCTTCTTCCTCAACGCTTTGGATCTGCCGCTCTCTTGCCATGGTTAGAGTTACCAATTGGGACTGAGTCTTCTTCTGCTGCTCTACGACGTGTGTCAAACCATCAATCATCAATGAGGTCCTTCCCATGCTTTCGGAGCTTTGCCTGCTCGAAAGAATATACATCATGGAAACACTTGGAAAATGTTCCGCTGCTGGCGAATGTGGTCAAGCTTTCCTCGCACTTTCTGGGCTTTACTCACCAAGCGAGCAGTGACATTTGCAGCATAAAATGCATTTGAGTTTGCGAAGGTCTTTGCCGCCCTACTACATTCTCCAAGATTGGCACTTGAATATGGCTCTGAGCAAAAGAGGCCTGCAGTTCCTGGAGGAGGCTCCTGGACTGCATGCTTTTATAGGACTCGTGTGGAAGGACAACCATGGAGTCATAAGACTGCGAAGTCACCTGATTTGGTCGCTCTGAAGCACTCACATTGGCACTTCTGCCAAGACAACTCAAACGGCGACTGCACCGGTGGAGCCGAAAATTGGCAGGGGGCGACTGAGCTCTTTCAGGGTACGTAACCATACCAATCTTGATACCTATTGTCTGATTCTTTTGCCGTCCTTTCTTGGCCATCTCGGGCAATGTCAAGCGAGTGTGCTCAAAACAAAAGTACACAGGCTTGCTGTGGTGGCTTTCAAGCAACGCAATGCTCTACGAAGCATCCCTGTCGATCAAACTTGACGGGAATTGGCCCAATGGCTGGACTGATCGACTCAAAATGAGTCTAAGGCTCAACAATCCCAGATAGTTGGATGTTTTTGAAAGCAAAGTCATGCGAACACAGCTCTGCCCCCAGACCCAGAGATAAACGGGAACCATTCGCTACGCATTCGGCAAACATGTTGTGTGCACCTGCTGATGCTCCCTATCATCGATTACCTTTCAACAGCTTGCTTATCAAGGAATCGCTGGTACCATCAAAGGCATTCTGAGCATGCGGCAACTTGACCTTCAACCTTCACAGGGTTTAGGGCCTGTCAAAGCCGTTCAATCAGCATTGGACCGAAGCCTATCCAAGAGCAGATTCCAGCTCATTTACAAGCAAGATCTCTGATTGCTGCCAAGTTATTGCTGATGACCCTGATGGCTGATTCGTTCGTTTTCACATGAATTACCCACACTGGTCCACGCCTGCGTGGTCTGTGTCAGCTCCTTCACAGTGAGCCTCTGTACGTTGACGATGACGGGAACAAAGCACGCTGTTTCTGCATTCAAGAAGCAGACTTTGGAAAAATTGTTTGTTTTCAGGTGATGCAAGCTCCAGCTTCTCTTTCTGCAGTCTTCTCATCTTCACAGAGGTGAGACAAAGCGATTGTCGCCAATCTTCCTGCGCTTATTCTTGCCGAAGTTCCCATCCTTGGCAACAAACTTCACTGACTCCGGTGAAATCGCTAAGCATGAGGGAGATCCAAGGCGAGGATTCAGCGAACATATGTGAAGCTGACCAAAGTTCACGGGTGAAGTGGTGGGTAAATTGTCTGAAAAGAGAATGAAGTGGGTCCGGTGGGCGCACAGAATTCAACAGTTTAGTGAATTTACAAAACGAAGCTCAAAAAAGTAGACGGCATGGTCCTTCCCTTTAGCTGGGATGCTTCGCGGTGCCCTCTTGGGAGACTCTTGGATGTCCTTGGCCAACAAGCGCAATGGGCAAGGCGAAATTGATTTCTACACTTGGGCGAAAACTGAGGCGCAACAGCTTTAAATGATATGGGACTATAGATATTGAAGACTTGCAAACTCTGAATCTGCAATCTGCAAAGAGTTATTCATTCCATTGCCAGATAAGCGCTTACTGCTGCATTGAATGACCTGCATGCCACATCACCTTGCGTGCAACATGCGACTGGAAGGTCAAGGAACAACTCCAAGCTCCTGGCACCAGCAGTGGGGCTGCCAGAACGAGGTGTGACCAACACTTCGGCGCCTGTCAAGGCAGAATGGCAAAGCTCTGCGTTTCCCTCGAACAACAGCAAGTCTTTCAGAGGGAAGCAAAGCGGCTGACCCCAAAGGAGCGGTCTTAAAATTAAAAGCCAAATTACATCAACCTCTCACCCTTCAAAACCTTTGCACATCAGGACACACAATCAACTTCTCAACTGAATCTCAAAAGGTGCCAGCAGCAGGCCCAGCCACACGCGGGGATTTCACTTCCTGCAGAGCGGGCTATGCCCTTGTGAGTCATGATTGGCAGGCTCTTGGGTTGACCTCATCGTTCATCGCATAACATCTATAACTGTGAACTGTGAGCTGCTGTCCCTGGCAACTCTTTGTGTGCAATGAGACCTTCAGTCCTCCTGCGTTTCATTGGAAGGCTCGAGGGCCTTTTTGCGGCGTCCTGAGACATCCAACGAGAAAACTGGCCCAGAAGCCATAGTGAGCGTCGAAATGTGAATGACACCATGCACATAATGTCATCGATCATAGAGCCAAGCCATTGCTCGAAGTGTCACAAACACAGCAAATGTTGCCTCCAGGTTTGAGCATATTCTTCACCTGGATGCTCTGGCCCCTTCAGTTCTTCGAATCAGCCCAATAAGTCCAATCGTTTATATTAAAACAAAAACTGGGACTGACTATATTACTATATAATACTAGACTATATATATATAGATAAATAGATATAAATAGACAGAACTTCATAGAACACATAAATCCGCCCGCACGGTGCTGAGGCGTTAAACTGTGACTCTGCGCGAATCGCTATATAGCTTTAGCTAGGGGCGCAACAGGGATATCTGATTGTATTTCTTAGTGAAATGAGTCCTTTCAAGAGTTTATATCTTCATACATGTTTTATGATTTCATCATTAGCATCACCTGCTTGCACTTGTATAGTTGGCTGCAAGTGTAATGTTTTGTGTAAAAAAATCAAAAAATAGTATAATTTGGACCCCCTGAAAAATACAAAAATTTCAGGGAACGAAAAATATGTCCAACAGTGATAGCAAGTTGTAAGGAGTGTCCAAAACAGGTGATTATGGAGATACATAACTAAAGAAACGGCGAGAGGTTCCAAAAATATAGTGATTATAGACACTTGCCTTTAATATTACTCATCCACTTCATGCTGCGTTCATCTTTAAGTTCTGTGTCGGTCATGCACATTGTAGAGTTCATTGTAAACATTCATTCTATTTTCGACCCCCTTGAAGTTGTACACTTTTCAAACTGTCCAAAGTATATGGGCAACCTTTTTTTTCACCCTTGAACCCTTTTTTTTCACCCCGCCCTTTCTTTCCACCCTCCACCTTTCTTTTTCACCCTCTGAACCTTCTTTTTTCACCCTCGAACATTCTTTCTTCACCCTCTACCCTTTCTTTTTTGACCCTCGACCCTTTCTTTTTCACTCTCCTTCCTTTGCTTGGTGTGTTGCTTGGCTGGCTAGCTTGTTGTAAATTGTAATGCAAACCAAATATCTACAGCCTTTGGGGAAAACACAGGGTTGTGTGGCTTTGGTTGCTTGGTTTGTTGGTTGCTTGGTGGGCTACCAATGCAAAGCAAGTATCGACAGCATTTGTGGAAAACGTTTGGTTGCTTGGTTTGCTGGTGGCTTGGTGGGCTACCCACCCCTTTTTTTTACCCCACTTCCTTTGGTTGGTGTGTTGGTTGGTTCGGCCTGCTTGGCTTGTTGGTTGCTTGGATTTGGGGAAAACTCATACAGTGATGGATGGATCATGGACAAGGAGAAGAATATAACTTTTTGGTGTGTTGGTTGCTTGGTTTGCTTGCTGTTGATTGCTTGCGTGATATAGTGCTTGAGTGACATGCAATTTTTTCTGTTTGTGTGCTTGGTTGCTTGGTTGATGGATGAATGGATGGGTGGATGGACGCTGTGTAACTAAAGGCGGGGCGGGACTGCGCCCTCCCCCGCAATGCAAACCAAGTATCAACAGCATTTGGTGAAAACACAGGGTTGTGTGGTTTGGGTTGCTTGGTTTGTTGGTTGCTCGCTTGTTTGATGGGTGGATGGATGGTCTGTAAATAATGGCGGGCGGGGATGGATTCATGCGTGGACGCATAAATGGATGGAGTGTAAATAAAGGCAGGAGGGTGTGCGGGGGAGGGCGTGCGAACCAAGTATCGACAGCATTTGGGAAAACGCAGGGTTGTGTGGTTTTGGTTCCTTGGTTTGTTGGTTGCTTGGTGGGCTACCAGTGCAAAGCAAGTATCGACAGCATTTGGGGAAAACGTTTGGTTGCTTGGTTTGTTTGTTGCTGGTGGGCTACCCACCCTTTCTTTTTTACTCTTCTTCCTTTGGTTGGTTCGGCCTGCTTGGCTTGTTGTTTGCTTGGGTGTGGTTTGCTTGTTGTTTGCTTTGGTTACGCTTGGTTTAATGGTTGCTTTGGTGGGAATGTTGGTTTGGTCGCGTTGTTGCTTGGTTGGTTGGTCGGTTGGTTGGCACTCCGTTGATGGATGGATGCATGGATGGATGGATGGATGGATCCTGTGCTGCCTCACGTTCCGGAGGCGTCCGGGTCAGTTTCCTACGCAGTTTCCAGAGGGTTCCGAAGGGCTAGTAACAAGAAGCTATTGAGGTGAAAACAAAGGTTTGGCAGGCGCAGGGACAAGCGGTGTGAAACAAACCGGAGGTGACATCGTTCTCTGCGCAGGTTCCAGGGGTTACCTGCTTCAAAAGGGTGAAGGGTGAAAAACAAGGTGAAGGGTGAAAGAAACATGCTACAGGGTGAAAATTGGGTGCAGGTTGAAAAAAAGGTTTTGGAAGGGTGGAAAAACGGTTCCAAAGGGTGGGGGAAAAAGGAATCTTGAGGGTGAAGAAAAAGTTTCGAGGGTGAGAAAAAGGGGATGGTGAAAAAACATTGTTCAAGGGCGAAGGAAAGGGAGCCCGAAGTATATTTTCGCGCAAACATTGTTGACTATAATTTGCCCCCCCTGAAGCTGTACAATTTCAAGGGTGTCAAAAAAATATACGCAACGATGCTTGCAAGTCTTGCAAGTAAGACAGAACTAAGCAATTTTTAAGGGGTCGAGAAATAGAGAGTGATTATAGATATGTTTTTTCATCCACTTCATGCTGCTTTCATCTCTAAGTCTTGTCTCGATCATAAACATTGTATAGTTTAACGTCCATCATCACTCTCCATTTGTCAACCCCCTTGAAATTGTACAATTTCAAGGTTGTCAAAAAATAGGGCCAACAATGCTTGCAACGCGCAAATAATAAATAACTTGATTATAGATACTTCTTTTACCCCTCTCTCAAAGCCACTGGTGCGGGCGGTTGTTGTCGCGAAGCGACCTGAATATTGACAGACCTTCAAGCCACAGATGGAGATCTTGTGTGGTTTTGTTGCGATACTACTTGACCTTTGGAGCTGGCCAAACAACTATGGACACGCTACGTCTCAACTGTGCAAGCGCAAGTGCAACACAACAGGGCTCGCCTTGGTTCCCATCACCTTCATGAAATTCCGGCCTCCTCATTTTGCCAAAGGGTTCAAACTGCGTCAAGCTCATATTGATGCTTGGAGAGGCACATAGAGGCTTAAAAGTTGCTGTTCACTCTGCGCCTGATCTATGTGTTGAAGGCCTTTGTACGAATATGACCGATTTGCAGATGTGAAATGGTTTGAAGACATTTCTGGGGCAGGGCGCCAGAATGTCTAAGACTGAGGTAGCCCTGTTAGCCATGGAACCTTCCACAGTGTCTACAAGCAGACTGAGCTCCGGCCTTTGAACTTCTCGTCCGTGACCGTTTGCTGGTCAGAAGTCGTTCCAGAGGCTAGGCTTTCGACTTCTGAGCTATCCTTGCCATCCAGATTCTACCATTGGTGTGTAAAGCATTTACCATTTGGGCCACTTCATCATTAGTTCACTGTAATGTTTTGATTGGCGCCGAACCAGGAACACTGGCGCTGATATATCTCCAAGGCTCGCAAGACTGTCTCGTACGCCTCAGGTACCCACCAAGCCTTGGCAGAGAGAGAGAGAGAGAAAAAAAAAGCGAATAGAACACTGCTGCGCAAGGCAAAAGCAAATTCAAGGTAAAAACGCTAGGCTTCCCAGCGAGTCACGGTCGCGTGGCTCAAAACCGGGGCTCAGCAGCTTCAACTGCCCCTGCAAATCGTGGTAGCACACCACTGAATTCGGTTCATCCTTACATTCTCTTAAACGCACCTTTTCTTGATACTCAAAGGGGCTGCACAG